TCGTAGGCAGGGCTTCTGTAGGCAGTCTGCTATAGTACTCAGTACTCAGTCTAGACGGGGTAACAGAAGATGGGAGGAATAAGGAGAAGCTCCTACCTGAGTCCCAGTCTAGTGTGGCCACTGGGGTCCCTGACAGTTTGTCTGGGGACTGGCAGCTGACACCAAGCAATGAGATGGGTCAGAAGGAAAGGCCGAGAGGATCAGCAGGAAAGAGTTAAGCTGTATCTGCTGAATTATGTTTTTAATTTCTTGCTGCTAATATCTAAAATAGAACTGCTTTACATATTAATCTTATATGTAGCTACTTCTGTGACATTCTCAGTAGTTCCTAAGTACCTAAAGGTCCTGTTTGTTTGTTTCTTCTGTAAATGCTCATAAAATCTGTAAACACATTTTCCTTTTTTAAATATTTGTTTCTTATGTCTTTTATGAGCTTTGGTTCACTTTGTCTAGAAATAACTTTGCCTTTTATTTTTCCATTACACTATTGACATTTCTGTTTGACAATCACAATCTTTTCTTATATAATAGGAAGGGGGTGTATTAAGGATGGAAGCTCACCTTGTTGCCTAGGCGAGCCTTGAACTCCTGCCTCAAGAGATATCCCATCATAGTTTCCAGAGTAGATGCACTCCTGATTAGAAGCATATAGATTTGTAGTGAATTGGATCTTTGGTTTGTGCTTTCTGTGAGTTACTTCAGCTGGTTTTGCCTTATGCTGATTTTGTAGACTGCCTTGGGAATGATTTCTTGCTTTTTGTCTGGAGAAGTTCCTGTGGAACTGAGAAAATTCTTTGTCCTAGAAACCTTACCTCAGGTTCCTTCCTTCCATTTTCTTTATCCCAGTTTTCATTAATGAACAATATTTTGCTTCCTAGTATTCTTAAGTAAAACTGTTTTTAGGACTTTTTCTCCATTTCACTTGAGGTTTCAATTTTTATTGATAATGTAACACCTCTAACTTCTTAGGCTCCGATTTATATTTAGAGGTCATATCTAGATATTCCCTTTAAAGTTGTGACCTCTGTGTTCTCTCCATCTGCCTCGTTAGACCTCTCTTAGCTCTTTTTCTTTAAAGAGGAACTGACTTGGCTTGTTGATCTGGTACCATCTCGTTGACTTGCCGTCCCACACATTTTCTTAAGAGGATAAATCTGTCTGGAGAGGTTTTCAAGGCAGGGTTTCTCTGTGTAGCCTCGGCTGTCCTGGAACTCACTCTGTATATCAGGCTGGCCGCAAACTCAGAAACCCACCTGCCTGTGCATACCAAGGATGGGGATGAAAGATGTCCACCACCACACCTGTGCTGTCAGGCTGTCTTTTAAGAGAATAAACAAGATTGCTTCCTGCCTGTCCTTTTAACTATGTGCTACTCAATGCCAGCCAGTCTCCTACTTGTTTGTCTGAGCAACCAGGACAGTTCACTCTTCCCACCTGCATTGTCCCCTCCTGTGGTTAAGTCTCCAGTGGTGAGGTCCTCACCACTCATCAGCTTGCAGGCAGGCTGCTGAGAGCAGCAGAAGCAGGAACCAAGCCATGTCTAGAATCTCTGCATGAAACAAGACCAGCAGAGCCATCAGGCAGGAGAGGAGGCCCTGTGAGGGACCCTGGGGGGTGCTCAGGAGTCAGAACAGAATCGTGGTAAAATGACCCATATTCTCAGGGACTTCTCACGTGGAGGACTGATTCAGGGAAGGACCTCCCCATCTCTACCTCTTTGTGGCCAGCAACTTTCCATATCACTCTGGCTTCTTCTTTCTCATGTTGCGGTCAATGCACCCTTGTGGTCACTGAGCCCAGCCGTCGTTGTTGACTGGTGGTAGATACAGCCTTGACTTTTACTTGGCAGGCTCTCCTTTCTTCCAGCTTGACCTCCTGTCTGTTCAGTCCTTTTATACACCATGCTGTCCCCTCTCCCTCCCTCATTATCTCTGCTTCCCCTCCCCACTCTATTATCTTCTCCTATCTTGCTGGACCTCTGTGTGTCTCAGCCTCTATCTCATCCCAAGGAAGAGGCTGCCTGGGCCAGCATGTGTTGTTTCACGGAGAGGAAAGCTGACCCATGTGTCTGACCAACTGAATCCCATGCTCTGATAAGAGATGCTGATGGTGGAGGTGCTGGAGTGGATGCTCCCTCAGCCCCCAATTCTAGAACTGGGCCTCTTTTTCTGTTCTCTGGTCTCTTCCCATTCTTCATTCATTCTTCATATTTCCCAGGTTGCACCAAGGCCTGCTGGACCTTCATTGCCCTGGCCTGCTCCCTGCTGCCCAGTTCACCAGGTCCCTAGACTTCCCAGGTGACAGTCCACTCCATAGCCATTGGTTCTAAAGCTTATCCTGTGTCTGCAAGAGCCTTTCTGCCCTCCCACCCACAGAGGAAGCCCTGGCTCAGGCCATGCCATCATCAAATGGCAGGTCTTTTGGGCCTCCAGTCTCAGTAAGTTCTTCTAGGCTTCTGCTCAGCACAGAGGCTTCAGCATAGCCTCAAGGTATCACTCAGCCTTACCTCAAAGGGCAGGACAGGTGACACCTTCTGGAAAGCTCTGGAGATGACTGCACACAGTTATAATCATTCCAGAATGAGGGTTAAGCAGGTCCAGAAAACCAATGTCTTACTTACGACATATTGTCTGGAACATCTCTAAGAGGGGACACGCTTAGACTGTGACTAGAGGTAAGACATGAGAGGTGGGGACAGAGGCTGTGGTGACCTCAGGGGTGGTTCGGCAGGAGGGTCATCACACCCCTTCCCATGACAAGGTGCCATAAGCTCCTTGAAGGCCAGTAAGACTTGATTGTACAACAGGAAGTATCATCATTCTCCCTGAGTGACAGACAGATGCAAAGGTGACTCCACATTTCCTTAGATCCCTGGCACTGACTGCCTTCTCCATGCTTCCCTGCAGGTCACTGTGCAGCACCCTCTGTCATGTCTGCTTCCTCTGCCTTCCTCACAGTCCCCATGGTCCTCTGATCCCTTGACCTGAGCTCTCATGGTCATGGACCTCATTCTCATGGCCTCACTGCCAGCTGTACATGGACGCACTTCTGTGTCCATCCATCCAGTCCTTGGAGATGCAGAGCACAGAACCTTTCGGATGAGTTGGCCCCAGATGGTAGGTCAGTTAGGAGAGGGAACGGGGCCTATTGAACCCGTCAGAAAGCCCCCTCCCATTGGATGGGGTCTCATGTTGCCCAGGCTGAGCCCTGAACTTGTTATAGCTAAGGATGACCTTAAACCACTACAGATCTCCCTCTCTTCCCTCCCATGTGCTGGGCTAACAGATGTGTCCCAACGTTCTCCTTTGTCCCCTACTGGAGATAGAACCCAGGATTCTGGGCATGCCGGGCAGGTAAGCACTCCAACAGATGCACCTCGTCCTTATCCTCAGTGAGGTCTGAGAGGAAGCCCTCCTGATCTGGAGCATTCACTCCAGGCTGCATCTGCCCTTGTCCCACTGTCTGAGGACTGCAGATGAAAACTTCCCGGATTGCTAAGTCACCCAAGGAGGGGCTGGACCTGAAGAGGGCCATTTGTCAGCTGCTGGACCCTTAAGGCTGTCACAGGGAGGAACACTTTCTACAGAAGAGCAGCCTTGGGTTTTGGTGTGTGCACACATGGGAAATGTCTAAGCTAAGGTTTCAATCGCTGTGAAGAGACACCATGATCACAGCAACTCTTATAGAGGAAAAAGACATTTAATTGGGTGACTTACATTTTCAGAGATTTAATCCATTATCATCATGGTAGGACGTGGAGGCAGTAAGGCAGACATGGTGCTGGAGAAGTAGCTGAGAGTCCTACATCTTGACTATCAATCTGGAGGAGTGACCTTTCCCTTATCTGAGTCCATGGAAGTAGGGCCCACTACTCTAGAGGCTTGAACCTCTCCTTGACCTGAACCCAGTGAAGTGGATCCCTCTGGTTTAGAGGCTGACTGCTCTCTCACCCGCACTCCCCCACAACCCTGCCACACCAAGGACTCCTCCCCCTAATGGGAGGGGCCAATCAGAAGCAGGCAACACCTCACCCCATGGAGAGCAGTCAATCCCTTCTCTGTGACTTTGCAGGTTTGGAATTCCCTAAGCCTTCCCCTCTTAGCCTGGCCACTATCAAAACATCAAAACCCCCTCCCAGCACTGCTCAGGGTCCCACCACCTTCTTCTCCTTTTCCTTCTCCTCCTCCTTCTTCTTCCTCTTCTTTGTCCTCTTTCTTCTTTTCTTCTTCCTTTTCTCCCTCCTCTTCTTCCTCCTCCTTCCTTCTTCTCCTTCTTCTGCAACTGCTGCTTCAGACGGACTGAGAGGCCAGAGTTAACTCACAATAAAGTCTCTTTGTTTTTGCATTACATTCAGTCTCATGGTGGTATTTTGGGGGTACAAACTTTGGGCATAACACATGGACTGGCTGCCAGCATTTGGGGCATCCACTTCCCAGGGCAGCTTGATAAGTGATAGAGGAGAGGGTCTTAGAGGGCAAGAAGTTAAGGGTCACACTAATGATCCTTTGTGGCATGACATTTTACTCTTTGGACTTTTTGAATAGCCCACCACCCAGATCCCAAATAAATCACAGGCAGAGGCTTATTCTTAGTTATAAATGCCTGGCCTTAGCTTGGCTTGTTACTTGCCAGGTTTCCTTAACTTAAATTATCCTGACTAACTTTTGCCTCTGGGATTTTATCTTTCTCTATTTCTGAATACCTTTCTTTACTTCTTTCTCTGTGACTTTCTGTGTGTAGCTGGGTGGCTGACCCCGATGTCCTCCTCTCCTTGTTCTCTTGTTCTTTTTTTTCCTCCCAGATTTCTCCTTCTATCTGTATTCTCTGCCTCAGCCCCGCCTATTCTTCATTATTGATGGTTCATCTATTAAGACCATCAGGTGTTTTAGACAGGCACAGTAACACAGCTTCAAAAGTTAAACAAATACAAGGTAAACGAAAGTCACGCACTTGAAAATAATATTCCCCATCAATCCTTAGTTCAATGAATTTAGATAAATTCTGTGGATCTTTTTATTTGAGAGAAAGGCCTCGGAAGTTAGAAAGGGGAAATGAGAGTTTCTCAGTTTCTCTGAGTTCAAACTCCCTGACGTGTGGTGTAAGTTTCTGTCCTGGCCATGGGTATCTGTGACCCGTGAGCGTCTGACTGTGGTATCAGAGGAAGCTGGGAGTCTTCCTACTAGAAGCACAGGTGACTCCGAGATGGTCACCCAGACCCGCTCATTTGGTCTTCACGGTGGAGTATACAGTCTCTTCCTGGGGGTTCTCATGGACAGGCGGGCAGGCTGGTGTTCCTGGGGAGGTCGGGCTTGAGAGGGCAATGGAGGCATACACGATGTTGTTGTCCTGCGGGGGTGAGGGACAGGGCATTAGATAGCAGCAGTGCAGCTGAGGCTCCATAAAGCAGCAGCTGCAGCCTGAGTGCCCCCCCCCCCACACCTCTGACCTCCAACCTTCTGCCTCCATCAACACCCCTTAACTCCTTCAGACCTGAGTCTGAATTGCTTACCTTGGGGTTCTCTTTGGGGTCCATATGCTGTCCTAAAGAAAAAGAAATAGGGAGCACTGAAATCAAGGCATGTGACAGGAAGGGAGACAGATGGCTGGGAGTTCCAAGCATGAGGTGAGGACCTTGGTTCCATGGGAGGTACAGGGTGAGGGAGGGACAGGCTGAGGGAGGGACAGGGTGAAAACACTGAGGGAATGCTTGTGTAAGTGGGGGGTCTTGGGAGAAGAAGGCAGAGCCAAGTGTGGAACAGGAAGCTGGCAGAATTTACCTTCAGGCTCAACGTTCTCACATTTCTCAGTGTTTTCAATGAGTTCCCTGCATGAGAACAAGATGGGCAACAGATGAGAGGCTGGGCAAGAAAGAATTAAGACATTCGGTGCTGGGCTGGAGAGATGGCCCGGTCAGTAAAGTGCTTGTCACATAAACATGATGTCCTGACTTCAGACCCCAGCACCCACAAAGCTGGATGCTGGAGAAGCAGAGACAGGCAGAGAAGTCCCTGGAGTTCACAGGCCAGCCTAGACTAACAGATGAGCTCTAGATTCAGTGAAAGACCCTGTCTCAGAAGATGAAGTAGAAGGCTGGAGAGATGGTTCAGTTGGCAAAGGGCCTGCTTCCCAAACATGAAGACCCAGATTTTACAAGGACCATGTAAAAAATGCTGGGCACAGTCAGTCAGGCAGTGGTGGTGCACTCCTTTAAGCCCAGCACTCTGTGAGTTTGAGGCCAACCCGGTCTACAAAGTTTGTTCCAGGACAGCCAGGGATGTTTACAGAGAGAAACCCTGCAAAATAAATAAATAAATAAATAAATGAATAAATAAATAAACCAAACCAACAACAAAATGTTCTGGGTACAATGTGCCTGGAGGGTGGGGGTGCAGATCGGTGGATCCCTGAAGCTGTTGTCTGCACAGCCCAGCCAAACTGATGATCTTCAGTTAGTCGGAGACCTTACTATAAAGGTCTCAAAATGAATATTACATAAAGGTAGAAGAAACTGAGGAGAGTCATGATATAGACCTTTGGTCTCTACATACATGCACAAGTGCACACACAAACACAACACACATGCAGGAACACAAAATAGAATGGAGAGAAACTGAGAAAGAACACCACTGATCTCTGCCTTCTACACACAGGGCACATGTGCATGTGCACTGCACATATATATACATAACAAGAACATGTAATAAGACACAGAGGACTGGGCATGGTGGTGTATTCTCAGTGCTCAGGAGGTGGAGACAGGGGGACTCCTGATGTTCACTGGTCAACCAACCAGGTCTAATTGGTGAGTTCCAGACCAGTGTGGGACCGTCTCAAAAAAACAAAACAAAAACCCAAAACCCAAGTGGGGTCAGGTGAAATGACTTAGTGGGTAAAACCATGCCATTAAGACTGACAACCTGATGTCATCCCAGGGATCCACAAGGTGGAAGGAAAAAGACAGCTCTCAGAAGTTGTCCTCTGTTTTCCACATGTGTGCTGTGACAAGCTCATACCCACACATACACATATACACATGCACACAAATAGGTAAAATGCAATAAAAAGAATTATTTAAGGTGGATGACACCCGAGAACACACACATGTGCATGCGCATGAGTGCCTGCGCACATGCATGCACACACACACCCGAGCACACATGCCCACACACTAGAAGCTGGTTTTGAGTGGTCTCTGCCATCCTCAATGACTCACGATGGGCATGTTGGTGTTTGGACTTCTCTGGAAGAGGAATGAGAGGCCATTGGTAAGGGGGCCTGGCCGAGGTCTCTCAACACTAGTTGAAGGTGAGTCATTGTAGGGAATCACCTTGGGCTGGGCAGGAACAGAGACTAGAAACAGGAAGAACCAATGCTATCTTCTCTCATCACCTTGATTAAAACTAGAAGGCAGAAAAATTTCAGATCTTCTGAGTAGGTGCTCAGGCTAAGGTCCTGGAAGAAGGGACCTTAGATAAGACTGGAAGAAGGACATCTGGCCAAAGAAGCCACAGGGAGAGGAAAGAGGGAGGAGCTGGGGATGCAGTGTTGCTCTCAGAGTGCTTGTGTTAATTGACAAGGTCCTGGGTTCCATCCCCAGCCCCTCATAAACCAGGTGTGGTGTGATGCCTGTCATTCCAACAGTTGGGAGGTGGAGGTGAAAAGATCAGAAGTTCAAGGTTGCCCTTGGCTTCATAGTAAGTTCAAGGCCAGCCAGGCCAATCTGAGACCCTTTCTCAGAAAAAATTTAGAAGGCCCAGAGCAGGCCATGTGCAGTAAGAAAAGAAAAGACAGGAGAGAAGGGCAGAGAGGTTGGGAGGTGAAGAGAAAAGGGCAAAAGATGTGGAAGACCTAGAACAAAGGATTCCTGGAGAGCGGGGCTCACTGACCACAGAGAAAGGCCGAGAGAAGAAAGGGAAAGATGGGAGAGCTGGAGGAATCCAGGCAGATGTTCAAGGCTGAGAGGAGCCAGAGCCACAGAGAGGGAAGCCTAGGAAATGGAAGGAGATAAGGAGAAAGACCCCATGAGGACTGGGGGTGGAGGCTGTTCTGGAAGGAGACTCCCTAAGACTCTGCTGCACCCCTTGTCAGTGTGTGAAGCTGGTGGCCCTGAAGAGCAAGGCGTCATGGAGGACATGCAGGAAGCAGACAGGATGAGTCAGGGGTGGGGAGATGTGCAGAGCCCTGTGTGCGGTTCTCCATTGTTCTTCTAATGCCATTTGAAGGGGCTGGAGAGATGGCTCAGTGGGCAAGAGCACTGGCTGCTCTTGCAGAGGACAGGATGGCGCTCACCTGGCTGGGGTTTCGGCTTTAGTCCTCTGACCTGTGGGGAAGAAACAGTGTCAGTGTGACATCCGTGCTGATGGTCCATTTGCCCCTCAGCTGTCCTCTATGTCCCACACCTTCAGGGAACAAGGGAGCAAAAAGACCGCCCCAGACAGCCAGAGAAGAGCCTGGACTACCTCTGCTGGGCTGCTGTCCCACACAGCAACCCCTCCCCCAAATCCCTGCCAGGTCCAGGCCTCACCCTCATCTCCTTGTTCCTTCATCAAACTTGAGTTCCTCCTGACCCTGCACCTGCTTGTCTACTCTGTGTTCTCCCAGCTTCCTTTTTGTGCCCTTAGGAACCGCCTCCTTCTGGATTGTATTTTACTCTACTGGTCTGTTTGTCTTGGTGCATACCGTGCTGTTTTAAATACTATAGGTTTTTAAAATTGCAACTTATTATTATATGATAGTTACAGGTTTGTATGGAGGTCAGAGGGCAACTTTTGGGAATCAGTTCTCTCCACCATATGGCTCCCCTCTTGGACACATTTTACCCTCTGAGAACTATTATTGCTTTCTTTTGTTTGAATTTTAAAATTACATGCACTCTTTTGGGGTAATGCCCATGAGAGCAGATGCCTGTGGATTCAGGAGAGAGCTTCCTGTAGGCCTGGAGCTGGAGGTGCAGATGGTTGTAAAGTGCCTGATTTGGGTGCTGGGAGCAAAACTCAGGTTCTCTGCAAGAACATTCAGTGCTCTTAACTGCTGAGACATCCCTCCAGCCTCCTATTGCAACTTTAACCAAATTCTGGGATCAGGCAGTGGGAACGCTCCATTATCGGTCATTTGTTTTTTGTTGCTGTTTGTTCTTGGTGCTTTTTTCATCTCATTTTATCTTTGAGAATGCTTCCAAACTGGTGATGAATCGTCTTTTCAAGACTGCCATTGTCGTTTAGATGGGAATTTTATTGAGTTCACTATTTTTGTAGTATAGACATCTATTTTTTTAAGTCTTGTTATTTTTATTGTATGAATGTTTGCCTGTTTATATGTTTGTTTGCCACATGTTTACCTGGTCCCTGTGGCAGTCAGAAGAGGTCATCACAGCCCCCTGGAACAGGAGTTCCAGGAGGCTGTGAGCCATTGTGTGGGTGGTAGGAATCAAACCCCAGTCCTCTGCAAAAACAGTCAGGACTCTTAACCACTGAGCCGTATCTCCAACCCCCGATATAGACATCGTGACTAATTTTTCATTTTATGAATAAGATGTTTCTTTCTTACCTGCTTTCACTTTCCTTCAACGTCACCCACTGTGTTTTGGAGAGCAACTTATTCAGCTCCTCAGTTTGGGCTTTTTTTCCCAAGTGTTTTACATTATAGTTATAGTTCTAAAGATTTATTTTTATTTGTATGTGTATATGTGTGTAAGGCATTGTGTGTGCCATCTGTGTTCCCAAGCCCACGGAGACCAGAAGAGAGCACTGGATGTCTGAAGCTAGACCTACAGATTGTGTGGGACACCACAGGGTCCTGGGAACTGAACTTGAGTCTCTGCAAGAGCAGCACATGTTCTCAACGCCTTAACTTTTGGAACAACTCTCTATCCTTTCTCTTGTGACGTATAAATACGTGTTTTTGTTTGTTTGGTTTTAGGACAGTTCTATCAGATCCACACAGGCACTTCAAATCCATCCCAGACTCAGCTGCCCAGTTGGCCCCTGTGCAGGTTTGACTGAAGAATCGGAACTACAGGCTCACCTGTTTGCACTCTTGGTCATATTGGGCAGGTTATGGAACATTTAGGAGGTTATAGAACATGCAGCCTTCTGAAAGAGGTGTGTGTCACTGGGGGTGTGTTTGAGAATGTAGTGTTCCTTCTCAGTTCCTTTTTCTCTGTGTTTTCTGCCTGTGGTTGAGATGTGACCGCTCAGCGTCCTGCTTCACTGCCCCGCCATTATTAACCTTGCTTTGGAGCCGCAAATGAGAATGACCTCTTCCTTCTACAAGGTACTTTTGATGGTGACATTTTTATCCCAGCAGAGGAAAGTGACCGCCATTGCACCCCCTCAGATAGACTTCCTCCTTCAGTCCCCATAAGGCGTGGTGGTTTCATCAAACTGTTTTTAACAAACAAGACTTATTCCTGTTCTCTGGTCCCTGTGTCAGTCTAAGCACTGAGTTTTTGTTTGTTTGAGATCTTCTGCACCCACGGAGGACTTTGAATGCTGATCCTCCTGCCTGCACCTTCCACACACTGGACTTACAGACAGGCACTACCGCTTGGGCTCGTCTCAGAATCTGAGAGCTTTTGCCTTGAATTTTACCTGGTCCTGGCCATTCGTCTCCATGGGCAACCACAGTGGTAACTGACGCAGCCTGGCACCTCCAGTCTGTCCTCGACACCCTACGACTGTAAGGTCAGAGTCCAGCCGCTGCTCAGGCCGCAGCACCGCCATTCACCCCTCACAGACTCCCTCCTGAGACACCGTGACTCTCCAGCTGACATACTTCCATCCAGCCCCAGGGTTTCTCTCCTCGCAAGTGACTTATGTCAGAGGGCATTGGTGGCCACACATCCTGCTCCCTTTCCTTTCTCCTTCCTGGTTCAGGCTTGTGCAATGAAACCACCCCATCCTCAAAGGATAAAGAAAGAGCCCCCCTTTCCTATTTAGAGCCTCTGCCATGTTGGTGGGGCCTGGCATCTCTTAGCCCCCCTGCCATGCTGCTGTCTGCCTTTCTGTCCGTGGCATTGATAACTCTTAGTAAACACCTTCCTTCCCAGTGACCTGTCTCTGTGACCCTCTTGAACCCCATCTGAGATCTTCCACACAAGCTGATGTCTTCAGAGCAGGGCTCTGAGGTGGCCTCTTGGTTTTGCCTCTGGTACCAGAGGCCTGAGGACCTGACTTACAAGGTTTCCACTGTCATCTCCTGCATCCTCCACCAGCACCACACTACTCAAGAGTTCCTGACATGGTATCGCTTTCCTGGAAGGTCAGAGAGTGTCCTGCATGACTCCCAGCATGTTCCTGGCTATTTTGTGGAAGGGAGAGGGATGAGATAAATTCTCATGGAGTCAAGATCCTCCTATTCCCACCCTGGTGCACAGAGGCCATTGGCTGTCATTGTTTTTTTTTTAATTGTATTATATTTATTCACCATGTGGATGTGTGTGTGTGTGTGTGTGTGTGTGTGTGTGTGTGTGTGTGTCTGAGAACAACATACAGAAGTCAGTTCTTTTCTTCAGCCCTGTGTGTTCTAGCATTTCCAGTGTCTTGACCTTCTGAGCCATCTCACTGCCTCTGGCTGTCATTATTTATTCTTTGACATTCTATGTAATTTTTCTTCCTCTGAGAGCTCCTCTACCCTCCTGTCTCTCCTCTGGCCATGTCTGTCAACACCACAGCTCTTTCTAAAATGAACACTCAGTCCTTGGGATGCCTCCCCCATCACCCACAGTTACTGGGAAACTGGATGTTGATCTACTTAGGATCCTCCAGTTTCAAGCCAGAATTTGGGAAGTGGAGCAATCAATACAGCTGAGCTGAGGCGACTTCCAGTCCCTTCTGCTTTCCCCTCCCCTGGCTTCCTCCTGGGCAGGCCCTTTCTCCTCTGATTACGAAATGGCTGAGTCAACAGAGAAGAACTGATTTTGGACTGGACTGTAAGGTTCACAAACTGAACCCTCAGAGGCCTCACTTGGGGAACCGGCTTAAAGCAGATTCCTAGTGGGGTTAGCAGTGCAGGCCTGCAGTCAACCAAACTGAAACAACAGCAACAAAAGACCCCAGCTACTCTAAGCAGAAGCCTCAGAGCCTGACTCAAGAGGAGGTCATCAGGGATATGCCCTGGGGAGGCCGGAAGCCACACTTAGCTCCTCAAAAGCTGTCCACCTTGTTGTTTTTAAAGACAGGGTCTCCTACTGGGACCCGAGGCTCAACAATTAGGCTAGTGTGACTAGTCATCAGCCTCGGGGATGATCTTGTCCCCCCTGCTCAGCACTGGGACTACAAGGATTGTGGTGACAGATCCTCAAGCTTGCGCGGCAAGCACTTTACTGACTGAGCCAACACCTGAGCCGCAGGATCTGAGCTGTCAACAATCCCCTTCGATGACCCTGGTGCAGATTGTCCTGTGGAAACACTCGGAAAGTGTGATGGGGATGCAGTCTGGACCACTTACCTTTCCTCCTCTTCCACCTGAGGAACACCATCAATCCCAAAACCCCAGCCAGGAGTACAGCAGCAGCCACGGCCACCCCAACTCTGGTTCCCAGATGCGGGGTGTGATTTTCTGTGCTCATCTGAACTTCTGTGACCGTGAGGGTATTTTTGGTGTGTGCAGAAGTTGCAGTGGTGGGGCTTGGAGAGGTGGTCCTGGGGGCTGGGAAGAGATGAAGGAAATCAGCATGAACTTTCCCAGTAGGAGTGAAGATTCTAGAGATGCCTCTGCAGCACTCTTTGCCGTCAGACACTGAAGCAATGGATTCCAAGGAACTGGAGACACCCAAGGAATCTCAAGCTGGCAGAAGAAAAAAGCAAAGCTTGGAGCCAGCCAGTAAAGAACTGATCTCCCAGAAAGAGAGTTCACACAGTTCTGACAGCTCCTCAGATCACCTTGCAGGAGAGACTGAGACAGAGGATGATGGCTCACTGTGGGCGGGGCCACACGGGAACTGGGACTGCTTAGGTATGCTTATGTCTTGTCTTCTATTTAGGCCTAAACCTCGGGTCAGGATGTGTCAAATCCCAAATAGGGAGTCAGGGGTTGTCCTTGTTTCTCCTCCAATCTGGTCAAGCTGAGCGCTGGAAGCCGTGACATCATAGAGTAATTGCCCAATCATCTTTTCAGGAGAGACTTATCAGAACCAAGGGATTCGCTAAAGGCTAAACCAAAGGCAAGGGTTTTGTGTTCTTGCTTTGTGAATAAAGTGGCTGTCCTTTGCTGTAGATTTTTCGCTGTAGCTGGCTTCCCTCCTGTTACATATTTGGGAGTTAATTCCCTAGTTCAGAACAGTTTCCCACTGCCAGGCCTGTTCCTCTCTCCTAGGTAAGTGCAGAGATCTGCCTTCCTGCAATTGTCTTTATCAGCAGGCATTTGGTCAGGGCTTAGGGTCCAGACATAGAGCATCACCTGCCCAAGCTGCTGCTCTGGTTTTACCCCACATAAAAGATTCTTACCTCCTATGCTCACCTTCACCTCGGTTCACTGATGACTTTAGTTCAGGACTCTCAAGGGCAGCAGGAGAAATAATTAACTGTATCCCAGAGAGAGACCCACAACACCAGGATCACAACAACTGATGACAGCATAGCCCAGAAGCATAATTTAGAGACCTGGCTGTTTTCTTTGCTTAGAGCAGTGAGTCTAACTCCAGACCTAGATCATAGAACTGCATTGTCTGGTATCCCGTCTCCTTTGGGGCTGCAGGATGGGGAGTAGCTCTTAGAAGCTCACACAGGAAGAAGGGAACAGATGCTGAGGCTGAGAATTGGGTGAAAATGACAACTCTACTTCCTGGTAGGAATGTCCTAAGACGCTCATGTCATCCCTAACAAGGATCAATCTCTAAGTCACACAGATCTAAACAGTCATTTTCTAGTAACAGTCCTTGTTAGAACAGAAGTAGCCTGCCAGGGTGGACAAGGCTGCTCCTTAGACGTGAGTTATTGAACATATTTTCAGTGCCTGGCACGGTTTGCCTCCCTATGCGTTATCGGTGAGTGTGGTTCAGAGCCCCCAATCCCACACAGACTATTGTGATTGCTCTTGGTTGCCAACCCCTGCTAGATGGTAAGAACCTATTGCTGAAGATGCTGCTTGCTTTTGATGTAGACACGATGAAAATATATTGCAAAATGTATGAAATATTTACTACTAAAATCTTTTTGCCATTTGTTTAATGTGTGTGAGTAGTATGTGTCTGCTGAGTGTCCATACATGCACCTATACACACAAGCACATGAGTACACACACAAACGCACACACACACACGGAGGATAGAGATGTGCACCTGAACATGCATGTGTGGACAGAAGAGGCTTCTGTGTCCTCCTGCAACTTTCTCCATCTCTTCCTCAGGGGCAGCTTCTCTCTGTGAAATGGGGGCTCAAGTATCAGCTAGACGGAAAATCAACAAACTCAGCAATCCTCCTGCCTCCACCTCCTTGGTGTCGCAGCATATGCAGGGACATCCAGCTTCCTCCGTGGGTGATGGGATGAACTTTGGTCCTCACAATCACAAAGCCAATGCTCTTAGCCACTCTTAACATTTATTTATAGATGGAGGCCATCTATAAATATGACCTTGAACTTGCTGTGTAGCTGATGACCTTACACTCCTTATCTCTTCGCCTCCACCTTCCACTGGGACCAGAGGTTTGTACCACCCCAATTAAAAATGTCACCTTTAAGCTGACTTTGGTGGAGCAGACCTTAAACCGTGCATTCGAGAGGCAGAGACAGGCAGATCTCTGTGAGTTCAAGGCCCATCTAGTCCTCATAGCAAGTTCTCGGCCAGCTAGGGCTACATAGTGAGACCCTGCCTCGGGTATAAATGGATGTAATGTACGATATATCATTTGAACTCTAAATATGCGGTCCAGTGGTTTACAGCGCATCCATTGTGCAGAGCAGCCGCCACCACCATTCATTCCCAGACTTTTTTATATAACAAATTTCCTGTGTTCTAAATTTGACAGGGAGTGTGTGTATACATATATGTGTGTGTGTATCTATGCACATACATCTATACATATTATTACCCTCTTTTCCAGAATATCCCTAAACAACAAAACAAAAAACAAAGTTGTTGGATACAGTGGTTGAGTAATGACTGAGAGAGGGAAGGAGTCTCATCGGCCACTGTCATGGATAAGGTTAGAGTCACTAAGGAAGTGTAGTCCCGAGAGGAGAAAAGGCAGGTCAGCAACTGCGGAGATGGCTCAGTCCAGAAAGCACTTGCCCTGTGCTCTGGTTAGTTATTGTGTCAATTTGACAAAGCTGTAGTTATCTGGGAAGGGGACCTCAGCTGAGAAAATGCCTCCATCAGATTGCCCATAGGCAAGTCTGCAGGATATTGTCTTGATTTGATTGATGTGGGAGGGCACAGCTCACTGTTCATGGTTCCATGTCTGGGATGGTGGTCCTGGATGCTATAATCAAAACAGGCTGAGCAAGCCAGAAAGGAAGCCAGTAAGCAGCCCTCCTCCATGACTTCTGTTTCAGATCCTGCTTCCAGGTTCCTACCTTAGATGTTCCTTCCTGAGATATCACACACTTTCTTTGTAAGATAGTCCATGTGATCACCTGTAACCTCAACACCATGGGAGATCAGGGCAAGAGGATCATTGCAGCTTTGTAGCCCTTCAGCCTAGCCCAGAACAGTGAGCTCCAGGTTCAGTAAGAGACCCTGCCTCAAGGGAATAAAGTTGGTCTTACTAGAGGAGGATTCCCAGTGCCGCACTCTGGCCTTTCCAAGCACAAAAATGTGGTATATGTGCACACACACACACACACACACACACACACACACCATATAGACACACATGCACATACATACATATATGCTTACACCATATATACATGCATGGCCCCTGGAATCAAGATAGAAGGAGGCAAACAATAGAGTGAACTCCAGCAGAGGCCATGTGTCTACAGTTGAGAGACACTTGGAGGTAAAGTGTCCTTGTGGGGTTTGTTGGTCACCAGCATGACCTTGGGCAGGGGTTGAATTCTGCTGGTTTCCATTTCTGTCTTTGTAAAATGACCTTGAGAGTACTCAGCAGTGGTGACATTTGGTTGGAGTAACACCCACACCGTGACTAGGCTGGGCCTGAGTGCACTCAGTGTGGAAGCTGAAGTCACAGCTGCCACAGAGGAGGTGAAGCAACCAGGAGACCTGATCATGGTGAGAACGTGAGGGAGAAGAAGGAACTGAGGGAGGGGAAAAAGAAACTGGGGCAGGGACCCAGAGGAGGAGGTGTATACATGGGGGCCAGAAGGTACCTTCTGTGGAAGGCACGAGATATAATGTAAACTGAGATCTAACGGAGACCCTGGCACAGCACCAAGTGAGGGCTGCTCCATTTTGCAAAGGTCAGATACTCATGAATTTCTGGCAGTGAGGGTAGGGTGGGCAGGGTAGTAGTGTAGTTTGGAGAAAGGAGCAGGAGACTGGGCCATCTGAGAAGAGCAAGGGCCCAGGACTGGGGTGGGATCAGAGGGCAAAATGAGGGGGCAGCTTTGAGAGAGATGCTACGGCTTGCAGGTGATTATGGGAAAAAAGAAAGATAGAGCTCTGAAGAGTGGATAGAACACACCAGAGGAATCTGGGAAGGATCAGACTTGTAAGATCTCCAGTGACATCTATGGTATAAAAAAGCCAGGTACACAGGACTGACCTGGGAAGTGCTTCCTAGGGATGATGGTGAGTTGGGTCCCATTGATCGACTGAAAAACCTCCATGCCTTTTGTCGTTTTCAGACAAATTCGGCAGAAGTACACTGTCTGGTCCTTCTCCTTCAAGTCAAAGATTCTGAGGACTCCGGATGTCTGAGGCTGTGTCCAGTTCAGGATGAGCCGGTCCTTGAAATTCTCATGTATGAAACCCGAGGAGGAGTTGTAGATCAATTTCCCATGGAAGTGCTGCCATCTCCAGAGAATCTTCATCTGTGGATCCTTTGCCAACTCCCAGGGGAAGTAGAAGGAGAAGGGGATCTCGATGGAGTCTCTCTGGACACCAGAGAGGCGTGCTGGTTGGTTGACACCAAAGGTATTTCCTCTGTTGGATCCTGCTGAGTTCCCTGGGAAGGATGGGGAAGAATCTGAAACCACTGCAGGGGATGGAAAGGACACCCCAGAGCTTCCTGAGTCTTCACCACAGGCAGGAGTAGGACTCAGGGAAGGACTTTTCCCGTGTCCCACTGTCCAGTAGGGGACAGGATAGACAGGAGAGTTGAGCTGGACCCACTCTGAAGATGAGCTCTTTCTAGTGGCTCAGAGAGCAGGCTGGTTCCTCTAGCAGTCACCTGTCCACCTGACAGCCCACTCTTCCCAGCTCTACTCCATGCTCCTGTGGTTAAGTCCCCAGTAGTGAGGTTCCCATCACTCACCAGCTTGCAGGCAGGCTGCTGGCAGCAGCAGAAGCAGGATCCAAGTCATGTCCGGAATCCCTCCAGGAAGTGAGACCAGCAGAGCCATCAGACAGTAGAGGAGGCCCCGTGGAGGAACCCTGGGTGGTCAGGAGTCAGGAGAAAATCAGAGTAAAGTTACCCACATTTCCTGTGTCTTCTCATGTGGAGGACTGAGTGGGGACAGGACCTCCCCATCTCCACCTCCCTGTGGCCAGCAACTTCCTTTATCATTCTGGCTTCTTCTTTCCCGTGTTGCAGAAGATCCACCCTTGTCCCCTTGAGCCCAGCCCCCACTTTTTTTTTTCCTGGAAGATACAGCCTTAACCTCTGCATGCTGGGCTCTCCTCTCTTCAACCTTGACATTCTGTCTCATCCAGTCTTTTCCATTTTCTTGTGCAGCCTGCAATCACTGTTTCCTCAGCTCCTGATTTCCTCCACTCCTGCCCTCCCCCCAGTCTGTTTCTCACTATGTCCCCACTCATGCTGGTTGTCTCTCTCTCTCTCTCTCTCTCTCTCTCTGTCTCTCTCTCTCCTTTCTCATAATTGTAGTTAAGGGGATGATCATTTTCTTCTCACCAGACACAATAAGGCAGGAGGTAATGAGGAAACACATTCAGTCCCAGCCCTAGCTTGGTGCCCCCACCATCGTCTGCTCTTTGCACTCTTGCTGCCTGTCAGGGACTCCTCACAGCGGCCCTGGAAAACTAAGGCCCAGTGGACACTCTCGCCCTGGCTGCTGGCTATGGCCGAGTCCGGGTAAGTTATAGACTCATCTCCCTCACCCTGACACTGACTCCAGAGCTACTCCAGTTTCTGACGGAGCCTTCCTGCCTCCTACCACCTTTAACACACACTCAGAAGAGAAAACCAAGGGTCAGAGAAGCCCTGGCACATGTCATATGACTGGCACACGGCAGGCGACTGGACGTCAGTCCCATCAAGTTCTCCTACTCTCACTCCCCACACTGACTTCCGGCTGCCTGCTCGGTGCAGCCTCTGAGCTCCCCTCAAAGGCCACGGATCTGCTGCTGGGCTTCAGGGAGGCTGTTCCCACAGAGCACTTTAGTGATTCCTTTTAGCGCTGTCTGTTCTAGAACCTTCTTTGAATAGAGTGGGCAAAAAGGGCTCAGAGCAGCAATGTGTCAGTAATGACATATCGCCTGGGACATCTCTGAGAGTGGACGCTGCTCTTCCGTGAATAGAGTCGAGTCGTGAGATGTGGGGGCAGTGGCTGTGGTGTCCAAAAGGCTGGGTTTGTGGAGGTCATCCTACCCTTCCCCATGACAAGTTACTATCAGTTCCCTGAAGGGCAGGAAGATGTGATTGAATCAGAGGAAGTGGCATCATTCTTTCTTAATGAGATGGGCAGAGGCGACTTCCCATTTCCTTAGATTTCCTGGCATTGACTGCCTTCTCCATGCTCCCCGCAGGTGGCTATGCAGTCGCCTCTGTCATGTCTGCTTTCTCTGCCTTCCTCACCCCTTGCTAAGTTTCTAAAGGAAGGACTGGGCCTAATGAGCTTGCCATGCTCCAGCAGCTGGTCTCCAGCATTTTTACACAACAGATTCTGGTTGGTCCCTCAGAATCCCAGCTGCCTCTTGTGCTCAGCCTCACTGCTGCCACCTGCTGGCCACTCAATCCCAAATCATGAGCTCTGTTCTAATTTCAAGTCCTGGACTCAGTTGAATCCCCTTAGGCACCGCTGTGGGATGATTTCTGTCCAGCAGGCTGTAATCATTTTTTGTAGTGAGAACCCAGTTTGCCCAACTAGCAGTGACTGGGCCCTGCAGCCATGATGCTTTCACAGGGGAGGGGCACCTTCTGTGGAAGAGCAGCCTGGGGCTGTGGGGTGCACACATGGGGCTTTTGCATACATGTGACCATGGGGAGTGTCAGGTTACAGTGTTAGAACCTGGCTGCTGTTCAGGATACAACATGAGTGTGCCCTGACCCACAGAAGAAGTAAGTAAATATAATTTAAAAAAATTAAGGTGTGCATGGTGGCACACGCCTTCTTACTAGCATATGGGAGGCAGAGGCCAGAGGACATCTGTTAGCTTGAATCTAGCCTGGTCTGTACATTGAGTTCCAGGCCAACCAGGAGTACATAGTGAGACCAAACAAAACAAAACAGACCCACAAAACCAAGAATAATATAAAGCAAACAAAGAAACACAGAAAACAAACAAACAAAAAACACAACTAACAACACAAAATGTCCAGGTACACGGTGTCTGGAGTAGTAAAGCCGGATGTTGCTCTCTAGTCTCCACATGCATGAGCATAAACTTGCATGTGTGTGCATGCGTGCGTGTCGTGTGCGCGCACACACACACTCTCTCTCACACACACTATCATGCAAGGCACCTCTCACAGCTGATCATCCAGCACCTGCCTACTGAGTCCTCATCCTGAGTAAACACGGCCAGAGCAAGGTTGTGAGCAACAGCGAAGCACAGAGTCACCAGCTCCTGCAGGACCTTGTGAAAGACGCAGGGGTAACAGCAACACAGTGCCCAGGCCGGGTCTCAGTGCTCCCAGTGCATGGGACTGCAGTTACTTCTGCTACAGAAGAGAGGCAAGGATCAGAAGACACAGTAGCCACGTCATGAAAATGGGGGCATTGTTCTGAAGACCTTTTGGGCCTGTGTGTAGAGGTGACAACGGGGAAGGGGAGAGGGGAGATGGGAGCCTGAGGTGATATCAAGGGAACAGGGAAATCAGAGGCATCAAAGTTAGAACCAGCGTGGCTCACCATGGGTGATGGGCAGTTGGGTCCCATCAATCGACCACCAAGTCTACAAGCCTTCTGTTGTGTTTACAGAAATATGTGGTCTAGTCCTTCTCCTGTAGGACCAGGATTCTAGGTCTCCAGATGTCTGTGCAGATGCAGGAACCAAGCTTCACTTCCAGGCTTCATCTGGCCTTGCCCTACTGTCTGGGGTCTGTGGGTAAAAGGTCACCTAATTGCAGAGTCTCTAGGAGGGGCTGACCTTATTACACCTGACATATGTCAGCTGCTAGACCCTAGAATTATTAATATTTATTTATTTATTTTTGTTTTGGAGACATGATTTCTCTGTAGCTTTGGTGCCTGTCTTGGAATTTGCTCTGTAGACTACTAGGCAGTCTTCAAATTTATAGGATCCACCTGCCTGCCTAGTGCTGGGACTAAATGTATGTGCCACCACTGCCTGGCTAACCCCAGCATTTTTATACAAAAGGTTCTGGTGAGGTGTATGGGTGCTCAACCTCACTGCTACCACCTGAATCCCAAGTTATGGGCTCTGTTGTTACAAGTCCTGGACTCAGCTGGATCCCCACAGGGACCCTGCTGAGGAATGGTTTCTTTCTTTTTATTTTGCTTTTTCGAGACAGAGTTTCTCTGTGGCTTTGGAGCCTGTCCTGGAACTAGCTCTGTAGACCAGGCTGGTCTCAAACTCACAGAGATCCACCTGCCTCTGCCTCCCGAGTGCTGGGATTAAAGGCGTGTGCCACCATTGCCCGGCTGAGGAATGGTTTCTGTACAGGATGATGTGATCAGTCTCCTGCAGTGAGAACCATGTTTCCCCTGACAGCAGTTACAGGACCCTGAAGCCATGACACTTTCACGAAGGAGGGGCACTTTCTGTGCAAGAGCAGCCTGAGGCTGTGGTGTGCACACATGGGGCTTTTACATACAAGTGACTATGGGGAGTGTCAGACTGCAGTGTTAGAACCTGGCTGCTGCTCAGGCTATAGTACCGGTGTGCCCTGCACCCACAGAATATATAAGTGTAATTTTAAATTTAAAACATAAAGTGGGCAAGGCATGATGGTGCATGCCTTTAATTCCAGCTTGGGGGAGGCAGAAGCAGACGCAAATGAGAGTGGATCTCAGTGAGTTTGAGGCTGTCCTAGTCTATTTATCACGTTCCAGGCCAGCAATGGCTATGTAGATTTTGTCTCATAAAACCAAAACAAACAAAAGAACAAACAAAGAAATAAATCCAAGGTAAATGTGTCCCTAGTAGTAATGCCTGAGGTTGTCTGCAGGCCTCCACATAGGTGAGCACACACATGCACACATGTGCAGCTGAATACAGGCACAGACACGTCATGCAGGGAGACACCCATAGCTGATGTGCCCCACATGTCTACCCAGTCCTCATCCTGAGTAAACACGATCTCCCGAGGTCAGCCTCTGTGACTCTTCAGACTCCAGTTCCTGATCGTGTCCCCAGCATTCAGATCCTGATTTTATACCCAGCAGTGTTTTCCCATAACAGTGATGGCAGAGAATAGACTCAACCCTTCCTATTTCTGTCTGAACCATCCAGTTCCAGAAACTTCCCTCAAATAACACAGTAAAGGGCAGATTGGCCTCACCCCAGCAGATAACTCATAGATGACAACTGTCCATCTGTCCATCCATCTGTCACACCATTCATTCTCCCAATCCTTGAATTTTTTACCCCAGTGACAACTAATGCAGCCCAGAAGGAACCCAGAGTAGCTGCCCAGACTGGCTCCAGAGACAGTTGAGGGGATGCTAGAGAGAGGGTGGAGGATGATGACCTGTGGTGTAACAGGACACTCAGGCTGCACTAGGACATCACAGTAGCACATTTGTCCCGCCCCTATCTGAACCCTCTTTTCTCCTCTTGATGACATCAACATCCTCAGTGTTTCCCAACCGCAGTGTGAGCGCCTCCCTGTACCCCTGTAGAGGGGAGCCCCAAGAAGAGACTCTACACCATGTCCTAAAATCTAGTGAGTGGGGCTGGGTAACCAGATCGCCCCCCTACTCCTCTGGATGGAGTCTCCTAGGTTCTGAAGATAGCCAAGGCAGAGGAAGGAACTCACATGTCATTGAGTTGAGGTCACAGAAACTGAGAAGCTCTCAATTTCCTCTTCAACTTTCTATATTGCTTAAATGAAACTATTAATAGTTACAAAAAAAAAGGGCTGGAGAGATGGCTCAGAGGTTAAGAGCACTGGCTGCTCTTCCAGAGGTCCTGAGTTCAATTCCCAGCAACCACATGGTGGCTCACAACCATCTATGATGAGATCTGGTGCCCTGTTCTGGTGTGCAGGCATACATGCAGGCAGAATGCTGTATACATAATAAATAAATAAATCTTTAAAAAAAATTTATTTCAGTGAATCTAAAGAAAAACTGGTCACATCTTCAAGTTCTTTGTCTCCAACCAAAGTGAACTGATGGATGACCTGCCTCCCTGACCTTTCTACTGTCTTGCGTTTCCGTTAGCTTTGGTTTGTTGGTTTCAATACAGAGTCATATGTAGCCCAGGCTGGCTTCAGACTCAATAGGTACTAATGATAGCTTCCAATTCATAACTTTGCTATTTCTACTGTCAGTCATTGGGATTACAGGCTTATGCCACCATGCCCGGATTCCTCTAGTACTTTTTGTTACGTAATGGCTCTGGCTGGGAAACATAAACCCTGAAGAGTGGTAGCCCAGCTAGACCCCATGTCTGCTCCCATTCGAACATCATGTTCCCTTCTCCCTGAGGGAATTTTATGTAAATAATATTGATAATGGGGGATCTGTGTAAACCTTTGCCGTGGGCCCCTTTGTTGTTCCTTCCTTTTGAAAAATGGAAACTGACATGAAAAGTCACATGACCATTGGAGTATCATGCATGAGGCCCCTTCTCTGTGCCCAGCTCCCTGGAGGGAGGTGATAGTGAATTAACCATACTGTAGATGATTGGGCAGATGGTCACCATGGCAGCCTGCCTGTGTGAACACCTCAGGGATGCTCAGAGGAGGCACCACCCCAGCTGCCAAGATCACTGTGACCACGGCTGCTGCTGAGTTCAGCCTCAGAGGCTTGGATCCAGTTACACCACAGCGGACATCTCACAGCTGACCCAGGAGACTCTACTGTACTCGTGAGAAGCCTTGGTGACTTCTCCATCACCCCTCCTAGCTTCAGCTACTCCCATGGGGATGGGACAGTTTTCCAATGACTCAGCAAAGGCCCCTGATTGATACACATTTGAGACTTGTCACTGATGGAATAAGAGCTGCATCTATGCAGGACTGTGATTGGTGGATCTGAATCATGCATGCCTGTCTTAGGGTTTCTATTGCTGTCAAGAGACACCATGAGCACGGCAACTCTTATAAAGGAAATAATTTGGGGTGGCTTCCAGTTTTAGATGTTTAGTCCATTATCTTCATGGTGGGACATAGCAGTATGCAGGCAGATACGGTGCTGGAGCAGAAGCTGAGAGTTATTCATTTGAATGCACAAGAAAAATGAAGTGAACTGTATCTACTCTGAGCATAGAGTGAACATAGGTGACCCGAGAGCCCACCTCCACAATGACATACTTCCTCCAACAAGGCCACACCTACTCCGACAAAGCTGTGCCTCCTAATAGTGCCACTCCCTATGGGCATATGGGGGCCAACTACAGTCA